CTAATACACTATCAGAGTTTTATATATTTATACTTCTCATTCAACCACAGTTAAATTCACTCTATCTAGGAGGCTCAGTTTAAATGGATATTTTTTACAATAACAAGCTGGAATGAAAACAAGCAAAAATGAAATAAAAGTAACGACTTTCTACTTCTTGACTTTTTTTAAAATGTAAGAAGTAGAAAGTACAGACAAAAACAAAGACAGACAAATGTAAGAAGTAGAAGTAGAAAGTAGGCTGAAAAATAATCACTCAAGTAAAGTACAGATACCCAAAAAAATTCTACTTAAGTACAGTAGCAAAGTACTTACAGTAGTTACTTTACTACTCTGCCCAAGCAGCTATGGGATCATTTGACTGAGGATCATTTGACTGATAAAGTCTTCCTCCCCTCTTCACCTTCGTTCAGATCAGAGCTTTGGAACTGGATCCCAACCTGTTCAGGGTGGGTCAGAGTAAAGTCTTCTTCAGAGCTGGAGTTCTGGCTCACCTGGAGGAGGAGAGAGACCTGAAGATCACAGACACCATTATACACTTCCAGAGTGCTGCCAGGGGATTTCTTGCACGCAAGTAAGACTTTGCCTTAATAATTTAGTAAAAAGGTAGTCGTATAGAGAATTGATTTATATTTATTTCTTTAAGATTGAAGTTAAATTATTACTACTCAAAGCATGTAAACAAAAATTTCACTGCCAACAAAATGTGTTGGACAGAAAACCTTGGCATTATGGTTATTTTTTATCGGATAAATCTTCTGCCAGCAGGAATTTAATTAGAATTTCTCAGATTTAATCTGAATGTGCATAATTTGAAATTGAGTGCATTGGTGAGGTGTATGAAGTCATCCTACAGAGTTGTGATGAGGCCTGTGTGTGTCAGTCAAGGAGTTGTTTGTTCTTAAGTTAACATTCAGCGGAACGCCCGTGTGCTGTTTTGTATTTGTTTTATTTTGAAGTATAATATCTGTTTCCTATTCCGCCTGTGTCCATGTGCAATGCTTGACGTCTGCCCTCCTCTTTCGATTGACACCTCATTTGACCAACTGGGTTCAAGTTTCGGCTGTCTAGGGCCAATAATAACTCAGTAGTGACCAACGTCCGGTTTCCATCTTTCTGGCTTTGATTGACTGTAAAATAGGCCAATCAGCTCCGAGCTTTGTTCTGATGCTACATCTGTGTAGCCAATCACCGTACCTTTCATTTAATGTATAAATGGGGGTGGAACTTTGTTAGTGACGGAAGATGATAACACAGTGGAGGCGGCTATGTTTCGGCTGTGTTACTATGCTGAGGAAGGCAACTAACGCTCACAGGAAAATGTTTTTTTCCATCGTTTTTTGGCCAGTTAGCTGACGAAACAGGCTGATAAGATGAAAATATATTTGTTATTGGCCAGTTAGCTGACGAAACAGGCTGATAAGATGAAAATATATTTGTTATTAAGTGTTTTGAGTCCTTCAAGACATGGAAAAGTGATTTTTGTGGCCAGGAGAAGTAACTTTATTTGGATGAAAAGACTTCCGGTTGCCATTTTGAATCGCTAATTTGGACATATTTGAGGAAATATATGCATCAAATGTGAGTGAAAAACTGCTGGTGGATTTATAAGCTGTGTGAAATGTTAATGCTCTGAAAGAAATAAGGATATATTTGTTTATTCTTGCGGTTTGGCTGGTTATTGGTGGAAATTTGGCTGGAAGTGCAGTGTTGGTGTAAATATTTATGAATATTAATATGTTTTTTTATTTAATCATGCTGTGAGTAAATATGGATGGTAGAATATGTTTTGTGGGGGTTATATCTTTACTTTGAGCCCAGAGTGATGTCCATGTGTTTAAATTTAAGTGATTTAGACAAACTGTACAGTTTGGACATACGTAAATGAGTACAAATATGCATATGAGACATGCTGGATTGTACTTTGTGTCAAATATTCATATTTTATACTACTGTTACCAAATTTGAACTGTTAATAGTTGAGAATTAATATTTTACCCCAGCAAAATTTGTTTGATAATATCTCATTCTCTTCATATTCTGTGACACTTTATTAATAAAAAATAAAAATTTATGGAGAAAAATATCTTGATTTTTGTGTATTTTACTTCAATATACTAAATACTAGTTACAGTTACAAAGAATATGACTGCTGAAGTTAAAAATTCAGATTATTAGCTTTAAAAAGAGACCAAGCTTGTGAATTTACTATAAAGCGTGCAAAAGCAGTACTTCTTTTAATTTGTGTCTACTTTTTAAGGCGTTTTATGGTATTTTATGCCCGAAGGTTAACGTTAAATTAACGACTCAGCAATTCCTTATAAGGGTGAGAAAAATGCGCTCATCCTTAGCTCATTTGTTAAAAACAGCTTTGGGTGGTAAACATGTTTGTGTGTCTTAAAATACATTTCAGGAGCAAACTCCTTTACCGTAGAAGGAATGCATGTAGGTTGATCCTGCTTTGTTTACATCTGGGCGAGGTAGAAGGTTATAAGAAGGGATGACCCAGAAAATTCTGGGGAGTACTTCACTTAATTGGCCCGAAGTCTCTTGATTTGGTTTAGGCTGTTATTCTGAATAAACCTCACTGTTCAAGAATAACTTTTGCCTACAGAGTCATTTCTTTAAGCACGCCATCACTGCTGAGATTTTGGAGACCCAGAAGAACATTCATCATTAAAATACACTTCATTGGTTTGAAAATAAATTTCACTAAATTGAAACTGAATTTAAAGTTTTAAATTTGAGTTAATTTGAACGTAAGTATTCAGCAGCAGCATCTGATCAATATGTGATCTATGATGTGATGTAAATGTAACATTTTCTACATATAGGTAAAATTAATCACTTCAATAAAATAACTTTGTTTTTGTCACTTTTACAGTGGATTRCATCAACTCTGTTACATCCAGAAGGGAAACTTCACCAAAGTGAAACATAAATCTGTGGATCTGTGTTTGATTACTCTGCCTGGCTTTCTCAAGGACCAGGATGTGACACAAAAATCTGAATTATGGAACTGAAAGAGAAAGTAGTCAATTTTTTTAATCAACCAAAATACAGTTTCAAAGCAAATAAATTCAGATACAAAACTTTAAATTCAGTTTCAATTTAGTAAAATTCATTTTCAAACTGATGCATTCAATTTCAAATTATGCACATTCAGATTCAATCTGAGCAATTCAAATTCAGTTCCTGCAAGATTTATCCCTTAATTTTTGCTTGTAAACTTCAGCTTTATCAGCTGTATCCTGACGTTTTAACGTTTTGAAAAAAAATCCAAGCGTTTTTTTTTTCATTTGCATAGTTTTTTAATATTATTCTTTCCAGAAATAGTCGTAAACAAGCTCGTACAATGGGCCATTTAGCTCTTCTTGTCTTGTCTCTAAGCTAACGTTGTTTAGCTCTATCATATTTGCTAGGTGACAGGACATGTGCCAGGTTAAGGGTGAGAATAAAGATCACAGCCACTTTCTTCCAGTCTTCGTGTTTGACAAAGAACCCGGCCCATGTGGACCGGGTAGGCTGGGTTCTTTGAAGGACGCAGGCTGTGAATTTGGACACAGCCATTATGTAGTCGATTCAGTTATTATCGTCTGCTGCCATGAAAGGTGGGCAATCACGTCTATGACCTTGCCTCTGTTTGTGGCTGTGTTTGTCAGCAAAATATATTGAATCATTCTTAATACATATTCCAAATTCTAATGGATTACACAAGATATTTGTTTCAAACTTCAGCACGCAAAGCAGCAGGTAGTGTGCATTTCTTTTAGTCATGCTAATTAATTTTTTTCTGTATTTAGAGGATCCACGTACCGTTTCAGAACTGAGATGTTTTTTTAATAACTAATCGTGGCTGTTTTTTCTTGCCTCAGAGCCTTTTTGAAGAAGCAGCAGCAGCTGAGCGCTCTGAGGGTGATGCAGAGGAACTGTTACGCTTACCTCAAACTCAGGAACTGGCAGTGGTGGCGGCTGTTCACTAAGGTGCACACCGTTATACAGTAATTACAACTCAGCAGATCTTCGTTTGTAGTCAGAAACAAAATTAACGGTTTTGCTTCCGTTGATTTGTAACTAAAAACTCTGGTTCTGTGCCAACCAGGTGAAGCCGTTGCTGCAGGTGACTCGACAGGATGAGGAGATTCAGGCCAGAGAGTCTGCGCTTCTGAAGGCCAGCGAGAAACTCAGCAAAGTAGAGCAAGAATACATCGACCTGGACAAGAAACACGCTCAAGTAAACGAATATTGTTCTGTTTTGCTCCCTGTGGTGGAAGAATATATGATGTCCCTAACTGCATATTACCTTGACATGTCCTGTTCTGTATCTCTTTGATAACTGCCATGATATAATCTGTTTCTCATGATCCCCTGATGTCAGTAACCTTGCTCTTATTCTGAAGTGCTCAGTACCAGTTGTCGTTTTGTCATTGGTTCTCTGTTAACATTTGTCATCCTGTTCGTGACGCCAATAAATGTCGTGGAAATATTCCACCAGGCAGAGATACGGGAATAAACAAAGTGAAACTGCAGGTGGTCTTGGTCTCAGATTATTTAATAGAAGTGTATATATGTGAGAAAGGTGAATGAAAACAGGACAGAGTCAATCAGGCAGCTCTGTCAAGTTTGCACTCCCATGAAAACAGGAAACAGACATTTATAAACATCCGGTGTAGTTTGTAGGCAGTCAATCACAGGATGACAAATGTTAACAGAGAACCAATGACAAAACGACAACTGGTACTGAGCACTTCAGAATAAGAGCAAGGTTACAGACATCAGGGGATCATGAGAAACAGATTACATCATGGCAGTTATCAAAGAGATACAGGACAGGACATGTCAAGGTAATATGCAGTTAGGGACATCGTATGATATTCTTCCACACACTCCCTGTGCACCTCTTTTCAGAATAAATCTTTTTGTTTTCGTCTGAATCACATCTCACTCATCACACTTCCTCTGTCACATTCAGCTGATCGAAGAGAAGGCGGTGCTGACCGACCAGCTGCAGGCAGAGGCCGAGCTGTTCGCAGAGGCCGAGGAGATGCGGGCCAGTCTGGCCAACAGGAAGCAGGAGCTGGAAGAAGTTCTGAGCGAGATGGAGAGCCGACTGGTGGAGGAGGAGGAGAGGGGCACGCAGCTGGCCAACGACAAGAAGAGAATGCAGCAGAACATACAAGTAAGCAGGGAGATGTGCTGTTAAAGTTTGTGACGGTACTTTACGGTTAGGCCAGGCTGTGGGTTTGTGGCCTGATGCTACATGTGGGGTGGGTTTTCAGGACCTTGAGGAGCAGCTAGAGGAGGAAGAAAGTGCCAAACAGCGCCTCCTGCTGGAGAAGGTTAGCTTGGAGACCAAAGTGAAGAGTCTGGAGGCTGAACTCCTGACGGCTGTGGAACAGAGAGACCGACTCTCCAAGGTAGACTTGCATTTTATTCTTATTTTATTATTATTATATATTTGCATTGGTTACATGTTTTTCGAATACTTTGCTTCTTTTTCTCTGAGCAGGAAAAAAAGCTGCTGGAGGAGCATCTGAGTGAGGTGACGGATCAACTGACTGAGGAGGAAGAGAAGACTAAAAGCCTCAATAAACTTAAGAACAAGCAGGAGGCCGTCATCGCTGACCTAGAGGGTAACGCTTTGATTCGGCATTGTCTTTTTTTTCACTCAGAACTCAGTACATTTGTCTAGTCCATTAAAACTGAAAAAATAAATCTTTAAAATTGACTTTAATGTGCATAATAATGTCCTGATGCATCTCAGTAATCCAGGTAGAAAAAAATCAAAAAGAAATAAATAAGTAGGTCCTCTGGATGGGTTCTTCTTTAGAGAAATGTTTCGTCTCTCCTCCAAGAGACTTCTTCAGTCTGATGAGTTTCAGGTGAACTCAGTCTTATAAGCACTGCCTCCACATGGACAAACAGGTTAGTCACATGCAAAAGAGGGCCAACGCCTAACAATAGTCTTGATTATCTCTATTGTTCATAGAGGGTCATGTACCCAGTCACCCGACTTATTGGTTTGGATGCTGTGGTTCTAAGGTGTCGTGTCATGTGTATGTAGTGAATGCAGGCAGGGCTCCCCTTGTTTTTGTCTTTTTTTGTTTTGTTTTTTTCTGTCAGGGGAACAACAGCTAGCAGGGTCGCGACCTGATTTCTTAAAAACAAACAAAACAAAACAAAAAAATCCAACCTCACTGGTGTGACTGGATTGTCGTTCTGTCAGAGGAGGGCAGCGGGACCCTAAGGATTAAACAGACACTGCTTTCAACAATTCAGACGAACTCCAGAGCTGTTTTATCCAATCAGAGCAGAGCAGGGCGGGACTTTCAGTGAGAGCAGTTTTCAGCAGAGACAGCGGCTTAAACAGCGATCAGTCCTGACATCTCCTCCTGCACTTTGCTCCTGAACTACCAGAGGCTTTGGTCTGTAAAAGACAGATATTTGCTGCTTGGTCTGGAGAGTGTGGAAAGCTGGTTTAAACAAGGCCAAAGATCTAGAAGGCTAAACTACAGGAGATGTACAGAGTCATGTGTAATCTAACAGACATTTAAACATGAAATGTTCAGTTTGAGATGACCATTGGCCACATAGGTATTTTACAAAATGTATGCAGAGTAAAAAAAAACAAAATGAAATAAAAAACTCTTATTTGGCATGATGTCCCGAGACGTTGCCTGCTGATAGAAGGTGTCATAAAACAGAACAGAGTGATAATAAATGTCCTGGCTCCCCTCTAGATAAATGTGTTAAATGAGTTTAGGAAAATATGAGCACCAAGCAACAACCCCAGGTTCTCCCCTGAGAACCAGACCAAAAATTCTATTTGCAACCCTGTACATACGGGATAAATCTTGTGCCAGCAGGAGTTGAATTTGAATTGCTTAGATTGAATATGAATGTGCATAATTTGAAATTGAATGCATTGGTTTGAAAATGAATTTCACTAAATTGAAACTGAATTTAATGGTTTGAAACTGAATTAATTTATTTTGAAACTGTATTTTTTTCTATTAAAAGTTCAGTTTGACTACTTTCACTTTCAGTTCCATAATTCAGATTTTTGTGTCACATCCTGGTCCTTGAGAAAGCCAGGCAGAGTAATCAAACACAGATCCACAGATTTATGTTTCACTTTGGTGAAGTTTCCCTTCTGTATGTAACAGAGTTGATGCAATCCACCGTAATGGAGTTTCAGTCTGAGCAATTCAAATTCAATTCCTGCTGGCACAAAATTTATTCCATACATCTGTTCAAAGAGTTTACATTAAATGAATCATTGTTTGCATTTCTTAACTCTCTCCTCCGCAGCTGAACTCCTTCGAGCAGCTGTGCATCAACTACACCAACGAGAAGCTGCAGCAGCTTTTCAACCACACCATGTTCATCCTGGAGCAGGAGGAGTACCAGAGGGAGGGCATCGAGTGGAACTTCATTGACTTCGGCCTGGACCTGCAGCCTTGCATTGACCTCATTGAACGACCGGTATGTACCACTCACCAAAACAAACTGTCATGAGAATATAGATAATGAATCTGAATTTTAAGGGGTAAAAAAAATCTTGTTTCTTCTTGTCAGGCCCATCCACCTGGTGTTCTGGCCCTGCTGGATGAAGAGTGCTGGTTCCCTCGGGCCACAGACCGCACATTTGTAGAGAAGCTATCTGCTGAGCAAAGCAAACATCCCAAATTCTTCAAATCAAAGCAGCCACGTGGGGAAGCTGACTTCTCTATTATTCACTATGCTGGAAAGGTATTCCATCTGTCACTAGTCGTCTTTTCATTTGTTGCTTCCCACCTTGTTGCCTTCATTATTCTACACCCTCTTCCTCAGGTGGACTATAAGGCAGATGATTGGTTGGTGAAGAACATGGATCCTCTGAATGACAATGTGGCGTCTCTTCTCCATCAGTCGTCGGATCATTTCGTGTCGGAGCTGTGGAAGGAGGGTGAGGTCACCGCTGTCATCTTTCAAACTTTCATTGGTTTATTATTAATTATGTTTTACTTTCTTTTAAATGTTTTCATTGTCATTTTGCCAAGTGTGATTCATTAAGTATTTTTCTGGTGGGAAATATAATAACTTTGCTGAACTTCTTTTTTTTCTTCTCCCTCACTCTCATTTGTTTTTGCTTTTATTTTTTTCCTCCATCTTGTTTTCTACCTGTTTGCTTTTTTCCCTTTGCACTAACTTGTTGCTCATGTGGGCCTCTCCTTTCCTTCCCTCTGACCTTCCTCCCTGTTCTCTCTTTTTTTCCTGCATCAGATATTCAAACTCTCCCTCGTGTGTACTTCTTTGACTCCTATGCCACACTACAGACTAATGGCTCAGACAGTAGGTTGATTTCTACCTTCCTCACTCTCTGCTTTACTCTTTTGATTTGTGCCTGCACTGTGCTTTTGTTTGTTTCCTTTTTTTAATTATTTGTGTACCGTCACTGTTACCTTGTTGCTCCTTTGTTCTCTAATTGCTCTTTTGACTTGATTTGGCTTTTAGGACGAGTGTTGTGATTGTGTGGTCATATGGCCTCTCTCTCGTTTTTAGAAACAGACAATGTGTTTTGAAAAAGCCTCAAGAGCAAAATTCAGGATCACTTTGTGTCATGCTAGAATGTTAAAGCCACAATAAAAAAAGTTTTTAAGCTAGTTTAGCATCTGGGTAAGATCAGCTGTTACAATAGATTAAGATACTTTACTGTCCCCTAAGGGAAATTTGTTGCAGGCAGAAGTACAGCGACTGCGAACATAAAAAAAAACATTACACTAAGGCCAGAAACTTTACAGTGCAAGCAAATTTCTATGAGTAAGACAGCTAAACTAAAACATGGCATCTGAAATGAAGAGCAATGAAATAGGACCAAAGTGTAGCAGACATCTGAGCTGCCAAAAACAAAACAAACCATTCAGAAATCTGACCCTGAATTTGCTCCTGAGATTCAATTATATAGACAGTTTCTTGGTTAAAAATTGTCACAAATGACCTGCTGTAAACTGATTTGTTTTAAACTTTCCTTTAGGATCAGAGGTGAGATTTTTCTTAAACGTTTAATCTATGAATCTGCTTTTTGAGATTGCTGAATTTGTACGATTTCAATGTCGTTTTCATAGTAACCTTAATTTTTTTATATTAGCCTTTATTGTCCTGCAGAGGGAGAAGAGGGTCTCTGCAGAACATGTTGTCTTGTGGGCGGAGACGGCCCTAATCGTGGAGTAGCTTGGTTGAGTCCGGCAGGAGCAGTCTGTAAAAAATATTGATTTTTAGCAACCTTTTTACAGGCTGGTTAGGGATGTTTTGACCAAGCCATACTGTTACACATCCTTTCACATGTACAACGTTCAAATTTCGTGCAGCTAGCACTTTCCTTTCTCACGTTATGACTAAAATTAATCTTAAAAAACATGTTGCTCCTGCCCGACTCGATCAAGCCACTCCCCGCTGCCTCCAGCCTCCTCAAACCCCACCGTCAATCCGACCAATCACATCTCTTGTGCCGTCTCCGCCCACAGGACAACACGTTCTGCAGAGAAATTGCAATAAAGGTTAATAAAAAAAATACCAACAAGGTTACTATGAGACCCCTACTTGCGCAGAGGGGAAAATAATTCTCTGCATTTTACCCATCACACATGCAAACACACATGTGGAGCAGTGGGCTACCAATTACAGTGCCCGGGGATCAGCTGAGGGGTTAAAGGGATCCCCGATTAGTTGTAACATTAGACTTTATTTGATAAACATTTACTGTATTTTAACTGTAAAATAAAGACTGTAAAAATGCTGTAGGCTGTTTAGTTTTGTAAATTTTTAAAAATATATTTTAACANTGGCTTTCTCAAGGACCAGGATGTGACACAAAAATCTGAATTATGGAACTGAAAGTGAAAGTAGTCAAACTGAATTTTTAATAAACCAAAATACAGTTTCAAAGCAAATTAATTCAGATACAAAACTTTAAATTCAGTTTCAATTTAGTAAAATTTATTTTCAAACCAATGCATTCAATTTCAAATTATGAACATACAGATTCAATCTGAGCAATTCAAATTAACTTCCTGCTGGCACAAGATTTATCCCATAGGCATGTTGTCTGTGATATAAGATCAGTGTTTCTCACTTATTTGTTAACTCTGAATAAGATTATGGTCTCAATCACAAGTTTTAAAATCCTCTTAAGTTCAGCTTCTATTTACTGTGACTTTTGAGCCGTGTAAAAGGGAACAACCTATAAGTTACTGTTTCTTTCGGCCGTGTTTACTTTGTGATTCAAAAGCTAACGTCACTTTGTTTCTGTCGCTGTTTGCAGAGCGTCTGAAGCGTGAGGAGCAGGGTCGCTTAGAGCAGGAGAAGTGGAAGAGGAGGATGGAGAACGAGTCGCTGGAGGCTCAGGAGCAGCTGTCGGACCTGGGCATGCTGTCTGCCGAGCTGAGGGGAACTCTGGCTCAAAAGGAGAAGGAAATCACCACCCTGCAGGGCCGGTGAGCCTCACACCGTGGGAGGGATTTTTAAATGTTGTTCTTTTTATTTTAATTGTTATTATCTTGTTAGACTGGAGGAAGAAGGTGCCCGCCGTGCTGAAGCACAGAGGGCTCTGAGGGAGGCCTCGTCTCAAGTGTCTGAGCTGAAGGAGGAGGTGGAGAATGAACGAGGGATGAGAGAAAGAGCAGAGAAACAGAAACGAGACCTTGGAGAGGAGTTGGAAGCTCTCAGAACTGAGCTGGAGGACACCCTCGACACCACGGCTGCACAGCAAGAGCTAAGGTAAATATAGATTTTAAAATGAGTCTTTCTGTGTCGAAAGGCGTAAAATACTGTATGAATGTTTCTCAATCGTTCACTCTGTTGAGATCCATTTATTTCCCCGTTTGTTTTTTGGCCCGTATCTCATTTTGCATTTTTTGTGCTATTTCAATAATGTATATATCAAAATGTTCAGCTCCATCAGGATATTACAACTCTGATTTTGGTATTTCAGCAATTTATAGATTTATTTAAAGATTTTTCTGCCATGTTGTTTCTTGTTGAAAATAAACGGAGCTGTCTTTTTTTTAGTTTATTAATTTCATTTAAAAACAAAACAAATTTTACAAACAAAAAATACAAATCAAAAATAAAATGAAAGACAGCAGACAGAAGAAAAAATTAATATTATCGACTATTTTCACCTGATTTACAAAGGTCCCGTCGGGAAGCTGAGCTGAATGACCTGCAGCGAGCTGTGGAAGAGGAGACTCGCCGACACGAAGCCCAACTATCAGAGCTCAGAGTGAAACACAGCACTGCAATAGACAACCTCCAGGAGCAGCTGGACAACAGCAAGAGAGTACGACAAACAATATTTACACACACATTCAGGAAATCACGCACTGCTCCTCACCGTGTGTCTCCCTCAGGCTCGCCAGTCTCTGGAAAAGGCCAAAGCCATGCTGGAGGAAGAGAGGCAGAATCTGACCGATGAAATCAAAAGCCTCCAGGCGAGCCGCACGGACAGCGAGAGGGGCCGCAAACGAGCAGAGAGCCAGCTGCAGGAGCTGAACGCCCGCCTGTCTCAGGCTGACAGGGAGAGGGAGGACAGGGAGGAGCGAGTTCACAAGCTGCAGGTGGAGCAGACTTTATTTGTTCAAACGGCTGCTCAGGGTTCATGCAGGGTCTTAAAAAGTCCAATAAAGTCTAAAATTTGAAAATCAAAATTTTAGTCCTAAAAAAGTCTTAAAGATGACCTAATATGGGGGTCCTAGAACAAGTTAGGATCCATCTGTGGGCTCTATAAAACATGTTCATTTGAACCCCCTCCCAACCTTTTGTTTACATTAGCTCCGTCCCCCACAAGAAGTTTACTTTCAGTTTCTTTTCAGTAGAAAGTACTATTTTTCCAAAGTAGTTCATGAGTAGACAGTAGACATTATTTACACAAACTTTATTTAATATTGCTAGAACATTGCCATCAAAAATAAAAATAAAATTAAATAAAAATAAAATGAAGCCACGCATCTCTGTTCTAAAACCGCAGAACCGTCCTGTGAAGAAGTGGGCGGAGTCTCCTCGAGTTACCAGGAGACGGGCTGGGCTCAGGTTGGGGTGGGCTGGAGTGCGACTTGTGACATCACAAACTGTGGTTTTTTGAAAACAACTCATTTTAAGACACAGAAAAATACATTTACTTAAAGTAAAAATACCTCTGAGTGCATTTTTTTGGTGCTTGGACTGTTTTTAGAAGCAGTACAGACCCAAATGTAAGTAAAAATAACTGAAAAAAGTTAATTTTGTATATTAGGTCCCCTTTAAAAACGCCCAGATTTTCATCCAAGGTCTTAAATTTAATTTTGTCAAGTCTTAATTTTTTTACTTTCGATCATTCCCGAGAAGCATTGGCTGCATAAATAACAGAGTAAAGCTCCGTAATCAGATGTTGAAGTGCTAAGTTTGCTACCAGTCTTTTGACATGGTTAAACTACAAATCCTGTGATAACTGCAGGCAAAAAACAGCACAGTTTACTTCCATGTTTTTGACCTCTTGGCCATTACAGCCCCCCGCTTGTTCACTCGCCCAAAAAACAAAGAAGTTCAGTCATGTCCACTGCTTGTCGTTTAAACATGGAAAAGTGTGTTTTCAATGAGTCTTGGCTGGATATCAGTGATTTTTACAACGGTACACAGCAGTCAGATATGACCGTCTCATTAAAATAATTCACTGTTCTTGTGTTAAAATTAAATATCCTTTAATAACTAAATTGATAGCAATAAAAGGTTTCTATGTTAAAAATTTCTGGGATCATTTGAATGTTTCTGTTAATGCGTCAGTTTGGTCATAATGGTCTTAAAAGGTCTTAAATTGAAGTTACTGAAACCTGCATCAACCCTGAGATTACTTCAGACTACAGTAACAATTTATTACTTTTTTTCCAGTGTGAAATCGAGTCTCTCTCCAGCAGTTTATCTTCCTCCGACAGCAAATCTCTTCGACTCGCTAAAGAAGCAAACAGCCTGGAGAGTCAGTTACACGATGCAAAGGTAAGACACACAGACACCAGGGTTATTTCAGCTGTGACTTTAGGATTTGGCTGTTTGGACAGCTGCATCGTTTTCTGTAGAATCCTAACGTGGAAACACCCACACCTGAACTCTGTCACCAGACCTTCGTTTTACTTTCTTTTTCAATCGTAGCAAAATTTCATATACATAAATGTCGGTTTGCAAACAGCTCTCCCTCATTCTGTGCTCTAACGAACGAAATCTCCTTGTTTGAAAGGAGTCTAAGTAAGATGCAAAAGCTGAAAAAGATGTACAAATTAATGAAGAAATTTCAGTTAGTAACCCCTTAAATTGTTTTTTTTTTGTTTGTTTCTTAGAAGAAAAAAATGTTCTTGTTTTATAATATTGAAGGAAAATACAAATGGAAATTACTGATTTTTGTATATGAGAATGTCATTGTTTTTTATGTGTTATTGTTTGATTTTGTTAAAAAAAACTTTCTATTTCAGGAACTGCTGCAAGACGAGACTCGTCAGAAGATGGCTCTGGCCTCCAGGGTGCGAGCTCTGGAGGAGGAGAAGAACGGCCTGATGGAAAGGCTGGAAGAGGAGGAGGAGCGAACTAAAGAGATGGCCCGTCAGATCCAAACGCTCACCCAGCAGGTGGAACCAGCAGCAGCCTAGAAGGATTTGACGAAGGATTTCTCCTTACTTTTTAGTCAAAATATCAACCACCGCCCTTTTTGTTTACCTGTGCAGCTCGCGGAGCTCCGTAAGCAGTCGGAGGAGGTGAGCACGGCGGTGGAAGCCGGAGAGGAGGTGCGCAGGAAGCTGCAGAGAGAGCTGGACAGCACCATTCAAAAAGAGCGACAAAAGGAGGAGGAGAAGGAGCGCGTGGAGAGGCAGAGGGAGCGGCTGCGGGAGGAGTTGGAGGACTTGACTATCGCCCTGCAGAGGGAGAGGCAGAACTGCACGGCACTGGAAAAGAGGCAGAAGAAATTCGACCAGGTGAGAGAAACAGCTGGAGAAGATCTACACGTTTAGTTTGTGCATTTGTCACATGTAAAATCTTTTTACCTTCATCCCGCCTTCAGTCTCTGGCAGAGGAGAAGGCGGTGAGCGCTCGTCTGGCTGAGGAGAAGGACAAAGCAGAAGCAGACAGCCGAGAGAAGGAAACAAGATGTCTGTCCCTGTCTCGATCCCTGCAGGTCAAATATTCAACACAGAGACTTTGTCATGTATTTGTGATTCTGGTCATTAATCTTTCGGCACGATTGACCACAGCGTTCTCCTTGAAAAACTAAATAAATATGGGATTAGAGGACCAGTATTACAATGGATATCTAGTTATTTGGAAAGTAGGAAACAGTTTGTACAAGTACATAATGTAAGATCTGAACTCTGTGGAATTAAATGTGGAGTTCCTCAGGGTTCTGTACTTGGACCAAAATTGTTTATCTTACATGTGAATGACTTGGTTAATGTGTCAGGATTATTTAAATGTGTTTTATTTACTGATGATACCACATTTTTTTGTTTGAGTAAAGACATAGAACCGAGGTTAGAGAAAATCAAGCAGAACTTGTCAAAATACAATACTGGATTAAACTTAATAAATTATCACTACATCTGGATAAAACTAATTATATGATATTTACAAAGAGACAAAGAACTGTTAACATTTCATTTAGAGTTGATGGTGTAGAGCAGGGGTGGGCAATCCTGGTCCTCGAGGGCCACAGTCCTGCATGTTTTACATGTTTCCTGCTCCAATACACCTGATTCAGTCACTGAACTACCTCTTCCAAGTTCTGCAGTATGGAGGACCGACACTGACATAATTAGAAATAAAAGCAGAAACATATAAATGAACCACTAAATAAATAAATAAGTTTAAATGCACCAAATAAATTAAAAAAGAACTTTACCTTAAGTTTTATAATTTAATTTACCTTCATATTAATTTTTCCAGCTTAGTTCCAATAAATTGTATACTTTAACACATAATTTAAATTTTACAGTTTTTAAATATATATTTTTATATAGTTTTTCCTTTTTTTTTGTACATGCATTTGTGTCTCTTAAATGCTTAAATTTAATTATTTTTATATATATATTTTTTAAATAAAGGCATAGGTAATCCTCTTTGCCTTTGTTTTAAACTAAACTTTAAGCTAAATTTAGGCACTACAAGCATGCAACACATTGAAATAAAAAGACTTACTGGAAAAAATGTAAACATAATTAAGTATAAACATTTAAGACACACAAATGGATGTACAAGTAAAGGAAAAACAATTACCGTAATATATATGTAAAAAACAGTAAAATTTAAATTATGTGTTAAAATATATAGACTAATTTATTGAAACTAACCTGGAAAAATAAATATGAAAGTCAATTAAAATATAAAACAGGAGATAAAGTTCTCTAATTGGTCCTTTAAAGTGTATTTATTTAATTGTTCATTTATATAATTCTGCTTTAATTTCTAATTATGTCAGTTTTGGTCCTCCATACTGCAGAAGCCTGATAATCATATATTCATTCAAATCAGGTGTGTTGGAGCAGAGAAACAAGTAAAACATGCAGGGCTGCGGCGCTCCAGGACCAGGATTGCCCACCCCTGGTGTAGAGATTAGTAGAGTCAGTGTGGTAAAGTTTTTAGGTATTACTGATGAGAAACTGACAAGGAAAACCTCATATAAATTATTTAATAATAAAACGAGCTAAATCTGTTGCATTTCTTTACAAAGTAAGGGACTTGTTTAATGATAAAGCTCTGTATGTGTTATAACACATTAATTGTTCCACAACTGGTTTATTGTGTTGAGTTATGGGATAAATCATCTAAGACTATTACACATCCTGTTTTTGTTTTGCAAAAAAGAGCTGTAAGTTATCACCCGAAAACGTTACTACTATCCATCTAATATATTATTCTGTAAACTGAATTTATTTAAATTCTATGATTTGGTTTATTATAATATTTTCCAATCCAATCCAACTTTATTCATAAAGCACTTTTTGCACCACATTAGACCAAAGTGCTGTACAGAATCAACATTCCAACACAGCTCATACAAAAACAAACTCAATCAAAATTAAGATAAGAATAAAAAACACAGAAAAGTAAAAGCAGGTAATAAAAACAAAGTACAAACAAGGAATAAAAAACAATAAAATGCCTAAAATCTAATTTAAAATCTAGAATAAAAACTAAACATTTCTACAAAATATTTTGTTAGTTATGTATAAAGCTCACCAAAACACATTACCTTTAAACATCCAGAAAAACTTTGCAAAGAGAGCTTACATGTGGAGTTCCTCAGGGTTCTGTACTTGGACCAAAATTATATATAATCTTAAGGGGACAGAGATGTTCATGAAACGTAAATTTAGAACTAGTTTGAAAGAACGGTGCACCCCAATCCAAGGAGTCAGATTGTGGAATAATCTGGAAGATGTTGTTAAAAGTGACAAATCAAAGCACATGTTTAATAGAATGATAAAGGTTAGATTGTTGAAAAAATATGAAACAGTTTAATCTGTATCCATATTATTTGTTGTTCTAGAAAGATTTTTTTGTTTTGTTTTGTTAACTGAAGATTATTATTGTTTGAGTTTATACTTGAGGAAAAAAGGGGCAGATGTAATAAGATTTTTTTCTTCTCTCTGCCACCTTTCATTTAATTTTATTTGTATTTTCTTTTTCTATTGTACATAGAATTAATTTTGTTTTTATGGAATGAATAAAGTTTGAAATTAAATTAAATTAAATCTTCTGTGTTTCTGTCTGTAGGAGGTCCAGGACCAGCGAGATGAGCTGGAGAGGATCAACAAGCAGCTCCGTCTGGAGATGGAGCAGCTCGTAAACCAGCAGGATGATGTTGGCAAAAATGTACGAATCCACCTGGTGGAACTTATTTTGTGTTGTTGTTGTTGTCAGTTTTGTTCATCAGCGAGTCGCATCTTTTTCATCTGCTTCTGTTCTCAGGTGCACGAGCTCGAACGGACCCGCAGGGCTCTAGAGGCAGAAGCTCAGAGCTTGAGATCTCAGACGCAGGAGCTGGAGGAGGAGCTGACGGAGGCGGAGGACTCCAGGCTGAGGCTGGAGGTCACCCTGCAGGCGCTCAAAGCCCAGTTCGAGAGGGAGCTCAGCACCAGCGAGGAGAAGGGAGAAGAGAAGAGGAGAGCCCTCAGCAAGCAGGTGAGGACGCGAGAACTGGCATGACTTATTTCTTTTTTTCTTCATATTACTTATTGTTTTTGTCCTTTTAACGTTCCCAGGTGAGAGAGCTGGAGATCCAATTGGAGGAGGAGAGGACTCAGCGCTCTCAGGCCGCCTCATCCAAGAAGCAGCTGGAAGCAGAGCTCCAAGAATCTGAGGCCCATTTGGAGGCAGCCACTCGTGGTAAAGAGGAGGCCGTCAAGCATCTACGGAGGCTGCAGGTTAGAACCACTCTTACCTGAACTCTGTGTATTTACACTGCAGCATGCGTGGTTTTAAAATATACTGTCAATGTGCCACAGAGTCAAATGAAGGAAGTTCTCCGTGAATTAGATGAGACCAAGTTATCTCGAGAGGAGGCGATTTCACATCTGAAAGACGGCGAGAAGAAAATACAAACACTAGAAGCAGAAGTGCTGCATCTCACTGAGGTATGACGCTTTGCTTGAGTTTATTAATACTCTTTTAGAAACTGAAGATACTCTGCACTAGAGCTGAGCGATACGGCCTAAAATCAATATCAAATACCAAAAATACCGACATGGTCAAAATGATGTCGGTTATTGTCATGAATGTCGATGTCAGTTATTTTTCGGTTTATTGCCCAGGCCTAATGTGCAGTCAAGAGTTTTTGTCAGTGATGGGCACAGCTAACCAGAAAGTTAGGTTTACTCACCACTAATCCACTAAGCAAGAATCTTAGCTCCGCTAACGCTAATCTACTAAACAGCTAATGCTAACCGCTAAGACGACTGTCACTCAGCCTGTGTCATCTGTCTTCTTCATCTTCATTGAAGACTCTCAATCCAAACCAGAGTTGTAGCTTGTGAGGTTTTACACCTGTGGAACTACGCTCATCACTGGTTTTTGTATTTGTTAACATGACCTTTTTTTATTAAAGAACAATGATACAACAAGTATACAAAGAACAGTGTACCATACAACAAAAGTGATGACATCAGCCAGGGGTTATTACATCATAAACTGAAGTTAGATAATACATTGAGTGTTTTAATTGCCTTACAGTTTTTTGAATAAGATAAAGTAGTTAAATAGATCAATTTTAAAAGCCACAAAACAAGGAGGTTTTTTTGTTGAACTTACATTTGTGAATGAAAAACTTTGCTAAAAATGCAATCAAATTAATTAAAAATAATTATTTTCTTCTTTTTTTGAATAATTGTGAAAACCAAGGACAACATTTTCCCAATATAAAATCAAATCTTTATAAATACCATCAATAATAAACCATCTCCCCAGAACTTTTCTGTATGAATGCAAAGCCAGAAAAGGTGAACATGTTTCAGGATGAACATTTTGTGTTAATATTCTTTGTGAATGTTAGCACATAGTGGTTAGCTGGACAGTATTTTTAACGTGACCTTTCCGTTCATGTCTTTGTGCAGGAGTTGGCCGTATCAGAGAGGCAGAAAAAGCAGGCTCAGCAGGAGAGAGATGAGTTGTCAGAGGAGATGGTGAACAACAGCTCTGGAAAGTGAGCGTCTCACATCTTATAATTCATCTTCAGTTGGTTCCTTCGGCTGTGCTCCTGTAATAAAACTCTGTTTGTCCAGGAACGTGCTCTTTGAAGAGAAGCGGCGGTTAGAGTCTCGAATCACACAGCTGGAGGAGGAGCTGGAGGAGGAGCAGACCAACATTGAGCTGCTGACAGAGAGACACAGGAAGGCAGCTCTACAGGTGCAGCAGATTTACACAAAGCTGTTCTAAAATCTCCCTATTTAAGAAAAAAAAACCAGCATCTCATCCGTTTCGTCCCTGCTTGGCTCACGCTGCAGGTGGAGACCCTGACTGTGCAGCTGCAGGGGGAGCGGACTCTGGCCCAGAAGGCCGAGGTGTCTCGAGAGCAGCTGGAGAGGCAGAACAAGGAGCTGAAGACCAGGCTGGAGGAGCTGGAGGGAACGGTCCGAGGCAAACACAAGCTCAGTGTCGCCGCCCTGGAGGCTAAGATCGAGTCAATGGAGGAGCAGCTGGAGCAAGAGAGACAGTGAGCTCAACATGTTGATTTTAATAGACAAACTGTTTTTTATAGTAGAAAATATTGTTTTTGGTTGTTATTAAATCTGCATGATAAAGCTTACAAAAAGTTAAAATAAAATATTACAGCGTAGGATTTTACCATGATGGTTATATTATTCTAAATTTGGTTGACAGCAGGGGCGGACTGGGGCAAAAATGTGGCCTGGGAATTTAGTACCTGACTGGCCCATTCAAGGTCCGGGCTGGCAGATGATGGAGGCGGAAACAACAAATGTCACCTCAGGGCACTGTACAAAATCTAAGGATGTAATGTTGAGGAGTTAGTAAAGTTATTAAGATAGTAGAGCAGCAGTTAGCTCGCAGGCATTAACCCTCAGAGTTCCATGTGGTCATTTTGACTCATTTTGATTTCACCCCCCAAAAATAACATTGTTATTTTCTTTTTCCAGCACAGCATGAACTGTGTGAATTTAAACTATTTTTTTCATTTGAATATACTGTTATTGTATATTAAACTTTAATTCAATAAATAAATAAATAATTAAATTAAATTAAATTAAATTAAATCAAAATTAAATCAAAAACAAATCAAATCCAAGTAGGCAGAGTTATTTGTGAAACCCACAAACATTTATGATTTTTATCTTTTAGAATGCCAATGTTTGATGTAAATTTCTAAAACTGATGTTAAAACATTTTAAGCAACAGTTTTATAAAATTATCAGCTACTGAGCACAGTTTGGACCTAGTCCACACATGATAATGGCTTTATTTATTTAACAGTTAAATACATTGTTTTAAAAGTTAGCAAACTAGAAACAAATACCAACCACCTACGTGATTACCATCCTCCTTCCGGTCACGTTGTTCTCCAGACGTAGGTTCCAGTGAGGATGAGGATGCACCAGCAGAAAATAAATGTCAGTTTCTGACACTTGGCTGAATTTGCTTGTAGATGCTTTTTCTTTTCTCTCAATTTTTGTTCTTCTTATTTTTATTATTCGTTTTCTTCTTCCTTCTTCCTCTTCTTCATCAAACTTTTCTTGTTCGGTCTTTGTTGGTGGTTGGTAAACAATAATTGATGCATTATCGCCATCTACTGGTATTGAGCGCAACTCCACAACTTTATCATTATTATTTTTTCCCTCGCTGCCTGTCAGTGATGCACCGGCCCACCGGGAAAAGTCCCGGTACTCCCAATGACCAGTCCGCCCCTGGTTGACATAAATACTAACTAATGTTCCCTAACCTACAGAGAAAGAGCCATTGCCAACAAGCTGGTGAGGAAGGCTGAGAAGAAACTAAAGGAGACGATGATGCAGGCAGAGGACGAGAGGAGACATGCAGACCAGTACAGAGAACAGGTACTGCATCAGAATCGTATTTCTCTCAGCCGACACAAAGAATGAAGCATTAAAAAAATTATTTAATCAGGGTTAGGTCAGCTGAGCTCCTGGCACGATTTCACTCAATGAAAAATAAATCCCTCACTCGCAAAACATCATCAGCTGACATCTGATCCCTATCAGTCCTGTAATCCCGCACTAATCTCTATATTTTAAACATCTGCATTTTCTTCTCCTCCAATCTTACCTGAATCTCTTAAATGCCCCTCGTCCACTCCCTTTTTCTCCTCTCTCCTGCAGCTGGATAAGTCGATGGTGCGACTGAAGCAGCTGAAGAGGCAGCTGGAGGAGGTGGAGGAGGAGAACTCTCGCATCAACGCCCTGAAGAGGAAGCTGCAGAGGGAGATGGAGGAGCTCAGCGACAGCAGCCAGAGCATGAACCGGGAGATCACCTCGCTCCGCACCCAGCTCAGGTGAGCAGCGGGGTTTCTGTGTTTCTGCATGGATTTAAAAACAAAATACATTTTTATGTTGTTGACATGGTCATCGTTTGTTTTTTTCTTTTTGTTTGTTTGTTTTTTTTAACACCCCATTAACTTGATATGATTTGCTTTGCTCTTTTGTTTGCATTTCTTTTCGTCCATCTAATCAATGAAACATTACCCATCTGTCTGCGTCACAACACTCAGCGAATGACTGGAAACCTGAGAAGTAGGTCACTGTGTGTGATACGTCATGTTTTTATTTATGTGTGTGTCTGTGTGAGACTAGCTTAAAAGTTGCTGTTTGTTGGATTCAGTCGTCATTAAATCATTATAATATCCAGACTTGTGTTATTACATGAATCACATTAAACAGAGAATCACTGTCTTAATTCACACCAATATAATATTTAATATATAAAAATAATGTAAGCTAATCAATCATATCTACAAATTACACCTCATACATATCAGCAGTTACATTAGCTAAAACGTCTAACCTAATAATTTAAACTTAAAGTGCCTGTGACATCAAAATTTTAGTGATAAATGTGATTGCCCTTTTGGAAAGATAACATGGATAACATATTGCAAAAACAATTTCACACCACTGTGTTGAACGGTTGTTGAAATATTTGCATGTGAACAAAATGTTAACAACTTTCACCATCAGCAAACATTAACATTGATCAATAACATTTATAGACCTCAGTTAGTGCTTTTAAATTTAGCCCAGCGCTGTTCAACTAAGCTGCTCCGGGGGCCACAGTTACTGCAGGTAAACAGCTGAGGGGCCGAACATCCAGCAATTAAAGTCATTATGTAAATAAACCAAGTATTACAAAGATCTGTTACCTTTGAAATAGTTTATTTTGTTGCATTTAATCATAAATACAACATACAGAACCCTATAAAAGTAGTGATAATTAAACAATATCAAAAACAAAAATAACACATTCTGCCTCTTATTTAACACAAATATTATTTTAACATCTCTGACCTGCCAAATGTTTAAACCAATTTTACTTTTACTTTCATAGTTTCTTCAACTTCTTGTAGTTTTAACTGTCTTGGGTGTTCATAGAAATGATTTTTACCAGCTTCTAGACAAGATTCTGATGTTTCTGTAGAAACCAAACATGTCTATGTTTAACTAAAAGAACTTAGAATAATTAAAGTAGAAAGCCAGGGGTTTGGGCTTAAGAGATGAACGAACCAATTGGGCCGAACTTTAGTCGCTCTTGGGCCACATCTGGTCCGCGGGCCGTGAGTTGAATAGCCCTGGTTTAGCCTATAAATTTAGCAAGGGCTAATCCTCTAATAAATTTTAAAATTAGCAAAAGCACTAAAGCATTARTCAGGAAATTAGTTCCCCTATTAGTGCTTTAGGGGAACTGTGCCCACCACTGCCAATAACCCAGTAAAGCTCAGATTTCCCAGCTTTTACCAGCCTTGAACGCAGCATCACACGTGTGAAAGGCTCAAAAATCACATTCACAGGTGAGCAGATCTGTGCAACTCTTTTGAGACTAAATTCTCTCCATACAATCTGACTAAATAACTAAAACTTAGTCACCAAAAGAGAACAAATATTTTTAAAAATCTCCTACTGTGACATCAAACATATATTTAAAGAATAAGAGATTATTAGATTATTTATAATCTCTCAGCTGATTAGCAGACCCTCTCACTGTGTTGAAACTCTCTCTCGTCCTCCAGGCGCGCTCCGCTGCCCCTGGCGCTGCGTGGACGCAGAGCCCTGGTCGACGACCTCTCCCTGGACAACTCCGACTCGGAGGACCCCCCTGCTTCCCCCACCCCCTCCTCTGGACTCTCACAGACTCCTTCCTCAGACCAGAGCCTGGACCCTCCGCCGCCCTACAGCGTCAACAACACCGAGTGAGGCGGAACGCCGCCTCGCTCTCTGAGGGGCGGAGGAGCGACGCAACACTAACGTTTTAAATCAAACAGAATCTGAGGCGACACGTATGACAGGTGCTATAACAATGAAACAACCTCCTAATGTGATGCTCCGTTTTCCCTTCAACAAACACAGAAAACATAAACATTAACGTTACAAGGTGATAGGCTTTTATTTTGAAATACAACAAAGACTGACAGTTTTTACATTACGCCTCTTTAAAGCTAACAAAGTGGGAAAACAAGCACGTTTTAAGGTGAAAGGGATTTATTATTAGCGTACATAATAAACATCTTATTATAAAACTAAGCCATGTTTGAGGGTAAATTACGACAATCTAGTGAGCATTTATGTCACATGAAATAACAGGAAGAGAAGAAAAATTAACTTTGTGTGCTGGAAGTCATTTTCTGAGTTAGCGTAACACAAACAGCAGTTATTTAGCAATATTTGATCCAACCTGTGTTTGAATAATTGGTCACTAGAAACACTAAGAGGTGAACTCTCAGACGCTCCACTTTATTCTGTTTTTAGATAAATACGTTCGTAGACGACTTAGCAATAGTTTCTTCAACTTAACTCTTTACATATTCGTAAATTTGTATCATTTATATCCAACGTGAACCTAAGTTATTGAGTCAGTCTCGCAGGGGGAAGAGGGCGAATCGTATCGTTTCTATTCCCGCTGGAACTGATGTTACATTCATGGACGGCTCGGATTTGATGGCGTCGGGCTTCAGAGGTGAATTTGCATGAGAGGTTTCTTGAAAAGTCGCTGCTGTCCACGAGAAAAATGAAAAAAACAAAAAAAAAAAAACAAATGTATGCTTTTATAGATTGTCTAAGACAGCAAGATAACTAGAAACAACCGAGGAAGGGTCCTAATAATTCCTCTAAATCTGTTTTTCTTTGGTTTTATTTCTGTTTTAGGCCGATACGCACATTGTGTTTTGTACTGACGAGCATTTGAGGCACCGTAATTTTAACTTCACTGCACTGATGATCTGTGTGATGATTGATCAGTTGCAGTGTTTGTGTTCAGCCAAATGCTAGGCGTACGGGTGAGAAAAGGGACGTGATGTAGTGAATAGGGTAGCAGTAGAACTAAAGTGGACGACTGTAGAGAAACTGAGCACCAGGCTCAAAAGTAGTCTTAGATTTTTGAAAAACGATGACGATGATGATGATGGCACTGACAGATGAATTTTTGTGGCACAAGTTTTTTGTTTTTGTTTTTTTCTTTTTTTCTTTTTTGCGAGCTCAGAATGACAGAATCTGTGTGAATCAACCAAACACAGGCACTTTGATGACCCTGCTGTGAATCCTGGTTGGAAATGTTCCTTCATGCTGTCTTTATTTTGTTTATTTTCTACAAAACAAAAGTCTGTTTTTGCTGAAGTTTGTTAGAAACCTGCTAAAGCTTCACCCCGTCCAGGTTCTCAAAACAAGTTGTGTGAACAAACTCCGATGTTTTATTTTAGGAAAAATTGCTAATAGATGTGAAGACGTGCCAGTTTAATGTCACCAGACTGAGAATAAACACGCAGCTTGTTGGCTTAACTTTACAGAAACTTTACAGAAATTTTACGGAAACTTTACAGAAACTTTACGGAAAATTTACAGAAACGTTACAGAAACTTTACACAAACTTTACGGAAACTTTACACAAACTTTACGGAAACTTTATACAAACTTTACAGAAACTTTACGGAAACTTTACAGAAACTTGACAGAAATTTTACAGCAACTTGACAGAAACTTTACGGAAACTTGACAGAAAGTTTACGGAAACTTGACAAACTTTACGGAAACTTGACGGAAACTTTACAGCAACTTTACGGAAACTTGACGGAAACTTTACGGAAACTTGACAGAAACTTAACGAAAACTTGACGGAAACTTCATGGAAACTTTACACAAACTTTGCACAAACTTGACAGAAACTTTACATAAACTTTACACAAACTTGACAGAAACTTTACAGAAACAGGCCAACAGTTGGATAGAATTGTGGTGTACTGATACAATACCACTTTTACACGTACCGTGTTTTGTATGCGCTGATACTTGAAACCTGTACTGATATAGGCAGAGGTTTATAGTAACTAAGTACATTTACTTTGTTACAGTTCTTAAGTAATTTTTTTTGAGGATTTGTAATTTCAACAAATATTTTTTAAATTGTGACTTTTACTTTTAAAACCTAAAAATGATACTTTTACTTCTTTACTTTAAAGTTTAACACCTAGTTACTTGTTATAAATTAAAACTGTCTGAACTCATGGAAGGAGTTGTTTATGTGCTCTAAAAAATTAAGTGTTGAATTTATTCAACTAAATCATTTCAACTATTTCCACTCAACCAGTAGAGTAAATGTGAGGCGATAGACATATTTTATTTTAAAGAAATTGACCAATTTAATTAACTTAGTTTTGTGAAGTCAGTTTGGTTCAATAAATTTAACAGTTTATTTGTTAGAGAGCGTGGAAAAGTACTTTTACTTCTACTTTCCCAATTTTTGTGAACAGTTTTATTACTTTTACTTAAGCAGTTTTCTCATCAGTGACTTTTATTTTTATCAAAGTCATTTTCTGTTAAAGTATTTTTATTTTTACTTAGTTGTTTTTTTCAAGTACTTCATAGATCTCTGATTGAGACAGATCAATATCAATAGAAAATATGTTTAATGCAATGCTGATAATGCCACTGAACTCTGATCCAGAACTGCACGGCATTCTGGGAGATGTAGGCAGAGGAAAGGCTTCAGCTGCTCGACCTCACAGCTCAGCTAAGCGAGGCTGGAGGCATCAGCTGACTCTTTGGTAATCTAACAACCTGCTGAGCAACCTGCACAGTAACAGTTTCATGTTTCTCCTCACAGCTGCTTCATACTAAAAAAGAACGACATGGAGTGATAGGAGAAAATGAGGCAACAGCTCAGGAGGAAATTGTGGATAAAAGAGGAAAGGTCACATCACCAGTTTGGCAGAACTATTCAAGCCTTTTTTCTCCTGGTCCTTATTTCAGAAACTAATCAATAACTAGACATGGGTTTTTACGATGTAAAAACAAGTGTGCATTGCCACGTTGCATGTCATTGCAGCATGGCTTTGCCTGCAGCATTGGACTTGCAGAATGAAATGTGACCAAGTTAAGGTAATTGAGTGACAATATGAAGTTTGAAGAGATTTTTGTTAAAGTTGCATTACCAGGTTTTAGAACCCTGATCTCCCACATGAAAGTCCATGACATACACCACTAGACCAGTGGTGCTGTGGAAGAAGGTGGTGGC